CATTTCAGCCCAAGGGACAGAGTATATAGTTTGGGTTCAGTGTAGCTAATTTTCTAAAACAAAAACATCAGTACTGTCCACTGTTTCCAAATGTTGTGTCTCTCCTCATTGTGAAATTCATAATGGCTTTACCTAAAATTTCCTAAAAGCAGCAAAACATGTGTACACACAAATCCATGCTCAAATATTTGTAGCATCTTTATTATAGTCTCTAAAACTGAAGCTACAATGCCCATCAATTAGTACGTGTATTGACATACACAAGGAAAGAGTCTTCAGCAGAAAATGAAGAAACTACTAATACATGAAGAAAAGAGCCTGGAACTTTTTTTTTTTACAAAATCAAGTATAACTGAAGGGAAGACAGATAAGACAAACAGAACTGTTAAGACAGAAGTGCCATGGATATTATGGCATTTACTATGAGGTCTTTTAACTTACTGTTGTTAGAATCTGAGTGTACCCGAAGGCCCATGTATTAGGAGGCATGATCTCAAAGGAGATTATGGGATGTGGGTCTCTTTCTCGCTTTAATGAAATAAGAGTTTTATTCTGTTAGACACTTCCACCGTGGGGTATAGCCTCAACCCAGACCTCTAAACAACAGGGTCAACCAATTATGAACTAAAACCTCCAAAACTTATGAGCCAAAATATATGCAGTATTTGTTGTAATAATGTGAGGCTAACAGTTACCTATTATAACGTGTTTATAGTAAGATTAAAATTATAAACTCTGTGGCTGGTGATCAATGTTGAACATAAATGTAAAATGACAGATTACAAAAAAATGTCATAATCTGTTTACTTTTCTTCTGAAATTGTTCCTCAATTTGCCATACTAGTTTGGCATTCCACTGCTAGAGAAACCTTGCTATGTATAAACCTGAAATTTTAATTTGTTCTTCCTCATCAATGTGATGTATTAAAATACTTAATATTGAACAATATTAGGCTTAACAGTTACCGCTAGAAAGTATTTCTATTTTCACTGAGTTCAATTTTATTCCTAAATTTGGTTCCTATCCTTCAAATACTAAAGAGCAAGTAATTCCTTGAGAGCTAAACATAGCAATTCTTAAGTCTGTTCATTTTTTTTAAACATTTAATTTGGTAAACTTTAAGCAAATTATTAGCTATGGGCTCATTTAAACACCTTAAGTCTTTAATAAAAGAAAAATAATAAACAAAGGAAAACAAACATCTGATGTGCCAAAGGAAGAAATTCTGTCAGGAGACGAGCTTTAGACTTAAACTGAAACTCTTTCCTGGGCATCCAGTCTGCTAGCCTATCCTGGAAATTTTGGATTTGCTAAAATTCCACAACTATGCAAGCCAGTTTGCTGAAATCTATCAATCTCCATTTCCCTTCCCCACATACAATCTCATTGTTTTTACTAGTCTGAATAATCTGACTAATACAGATTCACAAACAAAACTGTTTCTATGTTCAAGAATTATTAGTTTATTAGCCACACACGCAGCAAATGTCTATAATCCCAGCACTCAAGAGGTTAGCCCTGTCTACGAGAGAGTACCAGGCCACCCGGGGCTTGCACAACAAAACCCTATCTCAAAAACAAACAAGAACAAAACAAAAGTTATTAGTGCGCTAAAACACCTACAAACCTTATAGTCAGACCATGTCAATAATCAATGTTTTCTTTCTAATAACATACTAAAAGTATTAGCAAGGATGAAACAAACAAAATATGAGGTATAAAGCCATTACTGATCCCCGAGTCTGAAAAGTGGAAACCTGTTTTATCATGTAGTTTACTACATTTTAAAATATATGACATATTAATGTTAACTGTAAAGTTTCAGGCTGCTTTCTTTTTTGTTCCAAAGACTCATTTCTTCATGAGAAATCACTCTTAGAAGTTTGTAATTTACTATGGGATGCCACATTATGGCTATGCTTGAATTATAAGCAGTTTGACTCAGTATTCATTTTAAGGCCAAGAGCAGACTCAAACTGCTGAAAATCTGTTCCTTCAGAATTTTCTGGGAACCATAATCTAGAACAAGGACCCACTCTTTATTTTACTGAAAAGGAATATTCAGCATGAAGTGGGGAAGTAAAAGTCAGATCCTCATGTGAGGATAATGTCTCTTCTGACCTTTATGATATACATAAATACAAAAAGATGTTATCAATTTCTCTCCTTTTCAAAGTGTAAGTGCTCTTTGTAGCACTTTGATATGTAAAACATATACACATTCATATATTATTTTGGTTCAGGGCAAGGAAGGGTTGTGAGGATTAAGGTAATATGCTCAGATCACAAGAGGAGCAAATGGCTAAGGGAACTTTTCTACCTTATAAACAAGATAAGATTAGTTTTTTGACTACAAAGTTAAAGGTCCATTGTTCAAAATATGTCTGTCCATACTGTCAGACATTATCACAGAAGTTCCAAATATTAGTGTAATTATAAAGGAAGTTAGATAGAAATAAGAAAGGGCTCCTTTAGCTCTTTTGGACTTGAACTGCAACACTTCCTGAGTATTCAGGCTGCTTACCTACACAGGAGACCTGCTAAAATTCCACAATTATATTCTGCAGTTAAGTCCTTGATGGTTGCTGAAGCACCACGGGTGGCGACAAAACAATTCTGAAATCCTGTCTGTTATTGCTGAATTACTCTTATAACACTGACATCAAGCTGAGCATTCCAGAGAAGAACGTTTAAGTACTTTGCTCAAGGTCACAATATTAGTAGCCGAGCCAAGTGTCCTAACAGTATTCTAGCCTTATACTATTTTGACTACAGTTGAAACGGTGTGTGTGTGTATGTGTGTGTGTGTGTGTGTGTGTGTGTGTGTGTGTTTGGTATTTTTATTTATTTTTATTTTATGTGTATGAGTGTATTGCTTGCATATATGTGAATGCATCCGAGTAGTGCAATGCCACGGAGGTCAGAAGAGGACTTTGGATTCCCCTGGAACTGGAGTTAAGGATGATTCGTAGCTGCCATGTGGGTGTTGGGAATCAAACTCAGGTCCTCTGCAAGAGCAGTCAGTCTTAACTGCTGATCCATCTCTCCAGACCCATGTTGAGACAGGGTCTTCCTATAGTTCCAGCTGGCCTGGAACTCATTATGTAGACCAGGCTAGCCTTGAACTCACAGAGATCTGCCTGCGTCTATCTCCCAAGTGCTGGGATTAAAGCATGCACTACCGCACCCAGCATGAAATGTTTTTTGGATAAGAGCTATTTTCCTTTTTTTAGTGGAGCTGTGAATTGGACCCAGGGTGTATGTATTCTAGGCCAGGGCTCTACCACTGAGTTATATCCCCAGGCCCCAAGCCATCTTTCTAAATGCATAAAGCTGTTCCCATGTACAATGGAGCATTCTGGCTGTGCAATAGCACAGTTAGCAGAAGCCTGACATTAGTGGCACTTGCTTCTTATCAATGCTTCTGTGGCAATACTATTATCTAAGGAAAGGAAGGACATGGAGTCTTCATGCTGCACATAGTACTAACTCTCTATTAATGACTTGTTAATCCTGTCTAGTACTAAAATACACCAAAGTATAGCACTGAAAATATAAATTAAATATGATTTACCCCTGGATAATAGGTCATTGATCAAAACTGCCCCTGAAAAAGGACACCACATAAATATTTACATGTGATTCTGCTAAAATAATGTTTTTACTCGAAAACAGAAACATGGGTAATTCAATGACACAAAAAGACAAACTAGAAGCGGGGCGTGGCGGTGCATGCCTTTAATCCCGGCACTCGGGAGGCAGAGGCAGGTGGATCTCTGTGAGTTCAAGGTCATCCTGGTCTACACAGTGAGTTCCAGGACAGCTGGGGCTACCGGGAGACCCTGTCTCAAAAAAAACAAAAAAACAAACAAACAAAAAAAAGACAAACAGTTTTCTTAATTTGAAGGAAACATTAAATGACTTGTTCAAGGTCACAGATTAAATGAGAATGCTCTGATCTAATCTTCTGACTCCAATCCATTAGACTTTAAACTTTACCAGGGCAGATACTATCTCTATTGTGTTCTTTAGTGCCACCACTTAGCACGTTAATGACATTACAGGGGCTAATACTATTATCAGTACATATGCTCAGAACAAGTATTATGAACGTTAATTTCATTTGATGAAGAACTGACAAATTGAGAGTAGCTTCCTTTCAGACCATGAACAAGGTTAGCCCATAATGAACAAATGTGGTATACTTTATCTGTAAGCTTGTTTCCAAGAAAACCTTGTTTTTTTCTAGTTTGATGAAATCTTTGGAGAAAAAAGCTGGGATTTTTTTTTAGCTGTTACAGAGTACAAGGAAACAATCTACCACTGCTTTTTATTTAGTAGACTACTACTAGTACATGATGGTATTCTAGAATATTGGGTCAATGCTATAATCAAAGTAATGATTACTGCACCCTCTTATAAATGAACAGTACAAGGACCATATGTATCAACTAGATTAAGACACTTTTAAAAACAAATGAGGTGCTTATTAGTACTTACAAACTAGGAATAATGAGGGCTGCCCTGGCAAATAAAAACTTATAAGTTACTCTAGGAAAAAGTCAAAAGTATTTCTCTCTTTAAGAGAGCCCTTTCATATCTTGACCTATTATTTCTGGTTTCCTGACAGAGCAAAATATTAAAGCTACAGAAATTATTGAATTAACTCTTGTGTGCATATACCTTATTTGAGTTATTACACATGAACTTTCAGATATGGCTCATTTTATGGTTGCATTGGCAGTCAATTATAAAAATGAATTACAGTAACAAATGCTAAACTATGAACTATAGGTTAAAATCACATTTATCTTATCAATTTTAAGACTATGGCTTCCAATCTGGCCTCCTGTTCACTACTCACAAGAGCTGCAGTAGTCAGTATCCCCCAGTCCCCCCCCTTTTTTTTTTATCACTTTCATATTCCATAATATAAATCTTGAGAAACTTATGGAAAAAGTTGCAATTTCTTTCCAACAGTAATTGAAAGCATACACACCTCTGTCAGCTGCTTCAGCTGGACTTTATTTGTACTTAGTTCTTCAGCTAGGTTGTTGTTTTTCACTTGTAGTTCAGAGATTTCCTTTCTTAATGGATTCACTAGCTCATAGAACCGAATCTTAAAAAAGAAAAAAAAAAAAATCCTGAAATCCAAATCATAAACTCTGCTACTTTGCAATTCAGCAGGCTGCCCTTACCATGCTTTCATTTCTGTCATTTGGTTACTCTCATTCACCTGTGGTGAAAACATCAAGAGGGAAAATTGGGAACCTGCTGTAGCTGCTTCCCACACTCCCAGTACACTTGGAAAATAATCTCCAACTTCCAATCCACACCAGGGATAGGATCTGGAGCGGGTAGGGAGAGTAAGAAAACCTGCCTACCCAAAGACTACAAAGTTAAGTATGGCCATCAGAGGCCCATGACATAAAGAAAGCTACCAAAGAAAAGACAGTTCTGCCAGACATTCTGACACATGTTCAATACAGGCTCCCCAACAGCTTAAGCCACAGGAAAGCCCAGAGTCCACAGAACAACTACCTGCGCCCCCAAGGATATGCCTGGCAATCTCCAGCTTCTGAGGGCCCAGAAATAAAACACTCCAACATGTCATTTTTGAGTCTTTTTCATTTTTTATTTTTTTGTCTTTTTGAAGCAGGGTCTCCCTGTAGGCCCAGCTGTCCTGGAACTCACTATGTAGACCAGGCTGGCCTTGAACTCACAGAGATCCGCCTGCCTCTGCCTCCCAAGTGCTGGAACTACAGGCGTGTGCCACCACGCCTGGCTTAATCTTTTTTATTTTTATTAATTTTTTTCCTTTTTACTATACTTTCAGCAGATTTTTCCTTACTAGATTTTTAAAAAAATGATGGCTTTGTTATTCGTCTTTACACATGTACCTAATTTTCTTTACATACACTCTTCATTAGGTAGTTTTTTCCCCTTAGTTTTTTTGCCTCATGTTTCCTCCATTTCTCCCCTTTACTTTCAGTATTCTGACTTTACCTTGTTTTACAACACTTCGAGGTTTCCATGTTTTAGTTCCCTTCTTACATTTACTAATTTTTGTTTTTGAACCTTTTCATTACTAAGAAATGTTTTTTTTAATTCTAATCTCTTATGCTTTTCTCTTCCTCCATAACACTTTTCACTCCTCCTCCTCTTCCTCTATTTAACCTTGCTTATTCTCTAATTAAATCCTTTTTCTGTCTCCCTCCTTCAGCCAGTGAGACTCAGTCTTTTCTCACATGTGGAACCTAGACTTAAAATCGTGTGTGTGTGTGTTTACAGGTTGTGAACCTATAAACGGGGGAATGGGGATCAGGAAAGGGAAGAGATCCTAGGTGGGGATGGAAATAGAGAAGGTAATGGATTAAAATTAAAGCAGAAGAGGGGACTATTTGTGGGGAAGAAAGGAACCATTCAGGAGGAGGACAGAGGCATGGGGAAGGACACTGGGAGGGTTGGATTAAAACAATGCATAATGACATGTGTGAAAATGACATAATGAAACTCATTACATTGCATGCTAACTTAAAATAAATATAGAAGGTACCAGGCATGGTGGCACACACCTTTAATCCCAGCACTCAGGAGGCAGAGGCAGGTGAATCCCTGTGAGATTGAGGCCAACCTGGTCTGTATATAGTGAGTTCCAGGACAGCTGTGGCTATAGGGAGACCTGTCTCAAAAAGGCAGAAGAAAAAAAATATGTAATAGGAAGTAATCTTCTATATAAATGGCCAATTTTAGTCTGAAATATAATGAAGTTTGTTTTGTTAGACAGTGTCTCATGTAGCTCAGGATGGTCCCCAACTCAGTATGTAGCTACAGCTGGTCTTGAACTCCTGATCTTCCTCCCTCCATGTCCTGTGTATTGAAATGATGGGCAGGTACCACTATACCCAGCTTTGGAGTCTCAAACAATTAACACAAGACACTCACAGATACATATTCAGGAATTGAAAGCTGGTCTTCAGGAAAGGCTTTCAGCTTCACATACTGCTCTTCTGTCAGCTCCAAGTCACGCAGGTGTCGACGAATGTCTCCAGCTTTCTCTCTTAGCTGATGATTTGTCTCTTCCAGTTGTTTCTGTCTCAATAAAATGGTTTCCATTTCTTGTTTCATTAGTTCTTGGTATTTTCTACATTAAGAGAGAACTTACGCAAGCCTTAAAAAAATCACTGAGATTTAATTTTTTCCAAGTTCCTTATTTACAGTAACAAAAAAATAAAGGAATGAGAAACTCAACAGTATTCTTGGTTCTACTCAGTGCTTCTTTATCTAACTGTTAAATGAGAAATAATAAGTCCATACACATTAGTAATTGTATAGTCTCAAATTAGAGAATCAATATTCTTACATAATAATTTTTAAAATTCAAATTGCATGCCTTTAATCCCAGCACTCAGGAGGCAGAGGCAGGCGGATCTCTGTGAGTTCAAGGCCAGCCTGGTCTACATAGTGAGTTCCAGGACAGCTGGGACTACAAGGAGACCCTGTTTCAAAAAGACAAAAAACAAAACAAAAATAAAACCAAAAAACAAAATTATATATTTACTCTGCTAAAGTTTTTAAGCCTTATATATCTGCTTTGGGCTGTAGTAACTCATTTTCATTAATTTCATTAATTTCTTTCCTTTCTTCCTGATACTTCAAGGCATAACTCTTGAAGACGGCAACACTGAAGCATCATGAAGTAGTCATTCAACCTCTGAAGCTAATCTGCTTATACTCAACATGCTAAAAGAACATACAAAACAGACATTACTGTTGTTAGATGCCTACTCTAAGAATTCACACAGGAAGTAAAAACTGGATTTCCTTCCTTTCTACTATTACCTCTGTAACCCAGAGAAGCATCCTGTTGTCTTTTCTGCCTTAAAACAAATGAACATAGAGCTGGAATGATACTCTTGCTGAGGGCCTGAGTTTGGATCCTAGCACATGGTGGATAACAACCGTCCATAACTCTAGTTCCAGGGGATCTGATGCCCTCTTTTGACCTTCATAATCATTGTATGATAGGGTGCAATTACACACATGGAGGCAAAATATTTACACAATTAAAAAACAAAAATAAATTTAAAAAAATTTAAAATAAATAAAAACACAATTCTGCTTTTTAAAACCTTTGTGTGGGTTTGTTCATGTGTGCGAATGTGGATGTGCATGTGCAACAGTGTGCATGAGGAGGTCTGAGGACAACCTTGGGTGTCAGTTCTCACCTTCTACCTTGAGACAGGGTCTCTTATTGCATAAGAGGCTGCTGCATATTCCAGGCTAGTTGGCCTGTGAACTTCCAGGGATCTCCTGTCTCTACCTCCCATCTTGGCATAGGAGCACTAGGATTACAGATTTAAAAGTGCCTGGCTTAATGGTAATGGGGACAAGCTCAGATTCTGAAGCTTGCAGAGCAAGTGCTTCTACCCATTGATCCATCTCCCTAGCCTAAAAGCACAGTTCTTGACTGAATTTGATTTTCCTATGTTTGGTCCCTTTGGTGTCCAAACTGCTCAAAAGTTGTCTATCCCTGCTGTCTTTAATTCCTTTCCAATTAACCTGTCAATCAGGCTTTCGCCCTCTCTACTTAAATCTCAGTTTCACCAATGGCATCAATTCTCAGTTATTTTCATAGCATTGGTCACATCTGATCTCTCCTTCTTGATACACTTTCTGCAGTTGGCTTCAAGATACCACACAGTCTTCACTCTTATCCTTTCACTCTGGCATAGTCTTAGGCTCCTTTGTCTTCAAGTTGAAGCACTGGACATTCTTTGTCTATATGTACTTCCCTTGGGGAATTCATCTATTCTCATGATTTAAATAATGGCTATTATCACAATGACCCCCAGATTTGCCCCTAGAGACTAGTATCGAACTTGTGATTCTCCTGGCTCAGTCTGTCTAATGCTGAGAATATAGGTATGTGCCACCATACCTAATATATACTTTGTATATAAATCATTATTATTATTATTTTGTGTGTACATGTGTGTGCATGATGTGTTTATGTGGACATACATGCCAGAGTGCATGTGTTGCCAGAGGACAACTTTCAGGAGTCATTTCTTTCCTTCACCATGTAGGTCCTGAGGACTGCTCAGACTGTTAAGTCTTTGAGGCAAGCACAGTTACCCAATGAGCCATCTTGAGGTCCTAATAATCATTGTTTATCATTTCCAAGTTTAATTTCACAACAAATACTTTACTTGCACGTTTGTGTATGTGCATGTGAGTGTATGCTGGCCCATGCAGGCGGGCATGCAGCCCAGATGCTCATTCAGAATGTCTTCAGCTGTTCTACCTAATTATTTTTTTTTTTGAAAGACAGGATCGCTCACTGAACATAGAGTTTACCATTTTCACCAGATAACTAGCCAGCGAGTCCCTGGGAATTGCCTGGCTTCATCCTTCAGCACTAGAGTTATAGGCATGTGCCTCATGCTCAGCTTTTACTTGGGTACTGAGAATTCGAGCTCAGGTCCTCGTGCCTGCACAGAAAGCACTTTACCCACTGAGGCATCTGCCCAGCCAGACAGGATACCTTCAAAGACACCTACAGAAATCTGAAGAAATCTGAGAAGATACTTTTCATGGATTTGTAAGATTTTTGCCCTATTAATTTGCTGGGGTTTCTATGGCATTCACTTTTATTATATGTTTCTAATGAATTTCTTAAGTTTTTTTTACATAAATAATGCACCCTATTCTATTAATATTTCATTGTTTATACAATTTCAAATTAAATTACCTAAGTATAATTTGCAGAGATTATACATGAGAGTAAACAAGGGGCTCTTATTTTGTTTCTTTGTTTGAGATAGGGCTTGATGTAGCCCAGGCTGGCTTCCAACTCACTATATAGCAGAGGATAACTTTGAACACCTGATCATCCTGCCTCCACCTCCCAAATCCTGGGATTATAGGCATGTGTGATTACATTGGGCTTAACCAATGAACTCTTGATAAGTATATACCTAGCTTGAGAAAATACACAGGTATAATAATAGCATTTTAGGCCAGGGAAATTCAACAGCTGTAACAATCCAGTATGTTTTACAGAGGACATAAAGGAAGTCAATATATACAATTGTGGTGGTCAATTTAGAGAGTTCCTTTGTAATTTTTGGGTTGCTTTGGGCCATGTTTACCCAATGAACTGCTGAACTGACTGTGTATTTTGTATACTGTGTGTGGTGGTTTTAATGAGGAATGTCCCTATAGGCTCAAGTATCTGAACACGTGGTTCCCAGTTGGTGGTGCTGTTTGGGAGGTCATGAAATCTTTAGATATAAGCTTGTCCCACTCTAGTTTGTTCTGTTTCAGGTTTGCAGTTCAAGATATGGACTTTCAGCTTCCAGAGCTGGTTGTCTGCTACCATGCCTCCTCGGCCATTACGGACTCATTCTCTGGAACTATAAGCCAAAATAAAATCTTCCTTCTAGAAGCTGCTGTGGTCATGGCATTTTATCACAGCAAAAGAAAAATAAAAAATATACTGTTATCAAGCAACCTATCTTTTGATGGTCTGGGTGTGACGATTATAACCATCTTTAATTTAAAATTTCTCTATTATAGCTTATAACAACATGCATAAACAAGAAATAAAATTACTTTTAATTGCTAGATATTGGGTTTTTGTAAAAAACAAAACAAAACCACCTTTTTTCTTACTTGGCATCCTTTTGTTGAAGAGTTAATTGATTGTCTAGTCTTAAAGTTAGCAGCTGCTTCTGGTGAAGTGCATCATTGAGTTTTTCCTCCAATTCTTCAATCTTAGTAGAGAGAATAAGGTAAGTTATAAGTTCAGTTGTAATTAAACATAAAGAAAAATCATCAGTTAAAAATAGTCTTAAAAGCTGGGCTTGGTGGCACATGCCTTTAATCCCAGCACTCGGGAGGCAGAGGCAGGAGGATCTCTGTGAGCTCAAGGCCAGCCTGGTCTACATTGTGAGTTCAGGTCAGCTGGGACTACAGGGAGACTCTGTCTCAAAAAGACAAAAAAAAAAAAGTCTTAAAAACAAAACTCTTAAAAGAAATAGGATAAAAGTGGACAGAGGTTTACTTTTTTGTAATGCTGTGTGCCCAAACTGCAAAGTCTGCTCATCTTTTGGTTTGAAAGCACTCTCTCATAAATATTTCTTGCCAGGCTATAATTCACATGAATTTTCCCCCCCTTAACTCACATTCACTGCAAAGTTCACTACTAACTGGACTTTCACGTAAGAGCCTTATTCACATAATTATTTCCAGGCCAGACCAAGCATCTGTACTCTGGATCTGTTTCTCTGAGTACTGCACATCTTCCATTGACTGCCACAGGGGTGATGCTGAGGATACCCCAAACAAAATAAGCAACTGCTAAACTCACCTAATTCTGTATTTTCTGAATTAAACAAAAACAAGAAGGATCTCACTTGACACATTTGCCTGCTATTATGTCTCCCCACTAATTTCCCTTCCTAAAGTTTTACACACCTCCACATCTTCCTTTATCTGACTTTTAAAACATATTAACAAAATTTTACTCTACCACTTTCAAGTTACTATCTTCATTAAAAAAAAATCTAAATTCTAGCATAATAAAATAGTCTTTAAACTGACCCTTGTGAATGAATTGTTTTGTCACTAACTTAAAAGGAAACACGGTCCTAGCCTAATAAATGTTTGCATTTCCCCAATATGCTGTGCTTTCTCTTAAACCTCCACATACTTAGTTTTGTTTTAGTCTATTCTTTCTCCCTTCCTTTCAATTTAGGCAATTCTTTTTTTCCTTTAAAATAAATTACTAGTCCATTAATATATTCAAGTAAATCCCTCTTTCATCATCAAACTCCCCCTCAATTGGAGAACCTTTACCATTAAGTAAACGTGTTCACTCTCCTATAAACAAAGCAACCAAGAACACTGCCTTAATCACAGCACTCCTACTGCTACAGTACCTCCCCTGCTGGCCATCAGAGCAAGCTTCAATTCAGTTTTTGTCCCATAGTATTCTACTGGAACGATGCCTGATCCAGTGATTATTTCTGCGTGTTTATTGGAATTGGGAAAATGAGGTCAAACAGCTGAACATGTACTATATGCCAGGCACCATTCTAAGTGCTGGGGATACAACAGTAACACAAAAGAAATATGTCCCTTCACTAATTGTCCTTGTAGTCTATAAACAGAGGCCAGTGAGATGGCTCTGTAGATAATGGTGCTTACTGCCTAGCCTGATGGACAACCTGAGTTTGATCCCTGGAACCCACATGGTAGGAGAGAATAGACTCCTGTAAGTGTCCTCTGACCTCCACATGGGGGGTCATGTGTGTGCCCAACCTACCACACCACACCCCCCCACACCCCCCCACACAAAAATACATAAAGAACTATCTGATTTTGTTTATTTTGGGTATGTGTCTCTTTTTTACATTTGCTCGCTCCGTGTGTGTGTGTGTGTGTGTGTGTGTAAACATGCACACAATTTGATGCATAAAAGAGGTAGAAAGTTATATTGCTATTGTTGTTGCTAACAGCTAATACTTATGTGTGCTATTAGGTGTCAGCATTCCTCCCCCTCTATATTCATATGTGACAATTGATCACTAATGTCAGAGGAGTGGGACAGAGAGGGCCTTTGGGGTGTGATGAGGTTGTATGGTGGCTGCCATAACTGGGGGGAGGACCCTTATAAAGAGACTGACCAAAAAGTTCTCTGACCCTTCTGCTATGTAAGGACACAGCAAGAAGTATATACCCCAGAAGAGCCAGATCTGACCAAATTGGCACCCTGGTGTTAGAGAGCTCACTCTTCAAAATTGTACAAAATAAAGTCTTTTTGTTTTAGCAGTTCAAGTTGAGTAAGATGCTAAGTAGCACATGCTGGCCTAACTTACTCTACTGTTTCATCTAGCTATTGACTCATTAACATGCTGGTCACAAATACCTTCCCCTCACCAGTACATGTCAAGGGTTTTATGTGGGCTTAAATGAGAAAACACATGAAAAGCTCTCAAAACAGTATTTGAGCATAATGTAAGTCCTTAATAAATGTCAGTTATAATAATTTAAGTTTACCTAAATTACTTCTTCATCAAGACCTTGAGATTTCAGACATCTTACTTCTCAAGACATGCACCATCAAATTCTAGGCTTCCTCAATGAGTAGAGCAATTGTCTAGCAGGCTTAAGGCCCTAGGTTTGATCCCCAGCACCTTACAAATAGATAACACAACTTTTAATATTTTATTTTTAGTATGTATACGTGGTGTGCATGATGTGTTGTGTGAGTGTAGTTGCATATGGGTCATGGTGTACACGTAGAGGTCAGAGGACAGCTTTCAGGAGTTGGCTATCTCCTTTCACTGTGCAGCCCAGAGATGGAGCTCAGGTTTTTAGGCTTGTGTGGTAAGTGTTTTTACCTGCTCAACCATCTCACTGGTCCAAAATAACTTTTTTTTTCCTAGTATTAGGATACTAGTGTATTTTAGTATACCATAGGCAAGAATTAAAAAAAACTAACTTGACAAGATTTAAATGAAACAACAAAAAATGGGGGTAGGCAGGAAGAGCTATGACCAACAGAAGAGTTGCAATGTTCACCACTGGAAAGAAAAACTATTTTGTAACTTAATAACCACACAAAGCAGAAATACAAGAACCAGGAGGTCCATGTTGGCCTGACAAACAGAACTTGCTAAAGACAATGATTACCTGAGTGAGACTTTTACAATGATATAGTAACTATCAGACATATAGTAAACTAACAAATATAAAAGTACCAAAGAAATCATATTTAGAGCAAAGGACAATTCAGATTCAATACTATAATTATGATCTAGATTAGCCCTATCAATCTAGTCAGTGACATCAGTCAGTAAAGCTGAAAACTGGCTATAAATTACTTCAAAGAAAATATGTCACGCTAATGCTAGACTTTAAAAAATTAAGCATATAGGGGGATGGAGAGATGGCTCAGCAGTTAAGAACACTGGCTGTTCTTGCAGAAGACCCAGGTTCGAATCCCAGCACCCACATGGCAGGTGACAACTGTCCGTAACTCCAGTTCCAGGGGATCCAACAACTTCTGTTTTCTGCGGGCACTGCATGACACGGGTGCACTTACCTACATGCAGGCAATATACACATACACATAAAGTAAAAATAATAAATTGTTTTAAAAAATAAAAAATAGGGGCTGGAGAGATAGCTCAGGGGTTAAGAGCACTGACTGCTCTTGCAGAGGACCCGAGTTCGATTCCCAGCACCCACATAGCAACTACAAACTGTCCTTGACTCCAGTTCCAGAGGAATCCAAAGTCCTCTTCTGACCTTTGTGGCACTGCACAACATGGGTGCACTCACATACATGCAGGCAATACACTCATATACATAATATTAAAAAAATTAAGCCTATAAAAGTAGCTCATCCCCATTCATATTTTAAACACCCCATTTTTCAATACACAAAGTACAAAAAGGCTCTACTGGACAAGGAATGTTAAGTGAACCATTTATGTTCAGATAACACATATTAATTTCTTATTTATTTTCAGTTTAAAGACATTAAGTAAAATAACCAAACCTGCTTCTGGTCTTACCTTTGTAAGATAATCTATTTTCATATTGTCGATCATCATATTTTTCTGGGATAGCTCTATTTTCAGTAATTGAATATTATGAAGAATTTCTTTTCGTTCAATTAACTGTCTGGTGATTCTGACTTTGCCCTCTCGCTCTTCTGATGAGGAAACATCATCTGTATGAATGGTTGTTTCTAAACTAATATCTTCAGATTCCAGAGAACTAGAGATGTTCACTTTTTTTGACTCCTTGGGATTTTTTCGAGACATTTTATTATTATGGATCAGTCTTCTGTGCAGTAAAAAAAAATAATAATAAACTTAAATATACTGAAACAAACCCACTAGAGGGCACAGAGCGTATTAATGAGATACCAAAGATTGCCTAAATAATTATGCACTGGAAGATCCCAAATCTAATTCAGACCAATACAATAAATTACTGCTCAAATAAGTACAGATTCATTATGGGTGCTGGAGAGATGGTGTGGCAATCAAAAGCACTGGGTGCCATTGGAGAGAACTGGGGTCCTGTTCCCAGCAACCACAAGGCACCTAACAACCAACCAACAGTCCTTTACTCCAGTTCCAGGAGATCCAATGCCCTCTTCTGGCCTCCACTGACACTGCACACATGGCTGTACTTAACATGCAGGCAAAATGCTCATACACATAAAAATAAACTAATAAAAACACACTCATTAAATCCTACAACCAACTCATTCCTTTGATTAATTTTTTAAAAAAAATCTCGGGGCAAGAATCTTCCTTAAGTTTTGTATGGAGGTGGAGAATATACAAAACAAGAGCAGAGGCAACTGTGGTCTAACCAGCAAGAATTTCTGGATTTAATGACCCCTTTGCGTACCTCCCCTTCCTGAACACACACAGGTGATCTTAAACATCAGGACCTGAGCCGGGCATGCTGGCACAAGCCTTTTATCCCAGTACTCAGGAGGCAGAGGCAGGAGGATCTCTGTGAAAGGCTAGAGGGTATTAAATGTCAGGTTTATTTTACAGGCGAGGCATCACTGAAGATTTTGAAAATAGGTTCACAGCGAGACAAAGTCATTTTTTAATAACTAGAATGAAAGCAGAGAGGTTGGAAAAGAAAATCTCGACTATTCTCAATAGACAATCTCGGCCCTAAATTCACAAGATTTCGTGTATCTCCCTTGTTGAAGTCCTTACTACGCGACACAGTAAAATATTTATAGACCTGGTTATTTCATATTGTTCTAAACGGAATGGCGAGGAACGACGTGTGGAAGGAAAACAAGAGCAACTACAGTAAGATCAGCCTCCTTCGTTTTTTAAAAGGCAAGGGGGTAAAGAAAGGTTAAATCAAAGACAAATCCTCGCCTGAGAACAAAGGACCAGAAACGAGGGAGGCTTCTCTCACTTTGGGGAAGAAGCAGCAGTTCCAAACTTGGTTGCGTCTTAGCATCTGTGTCCTGCGCGCGAAAGAAAGGGAGATTCCTGGAAGCTACCTCGCAAGCGCCAACGATTCCGCATCCAAGGCTGGATCAGCCCCACCTCAGACACCTGGAGGAACCAAAGGCGTCTCTAATCAGCGACTCCGGCCTCAGCCCTCAAGAATCTCCGGGCCCGGGCCGGGGGACAGTTAGGAACGGTCACCAAGACAACCACCCGGTTGACCCGGAGAAAGGCGGAAGGAACGGCAGCGCGCACGTGCCCACGGCCCCGGAAGCCAGCCTGCACCTTCAGAGGCGGTCGAAGTGGAGCACGCTGGGAGTTGGAGTCCAGAAGTGAGCCCCGCCCAGACGCGGGCGGAAACGGCATCGCGAACCGTGCTCTCGTCCAATCATCGCGGCCCTTAGAGCGCCAACTCTCTTAACGCTCCGCGTTTTCTCGCGAGATGTGTGTTATCTATACACTGGGAGTGGAGAGAAGCGAGCATGTTTTGGAAGCGTAGGAAGAGTGCGGTGGGAGTGTTTCTGGTTTGACGCGTTTTTCGTCAGAATTCTGCAACGGTTGGGATTCCGCCTTGGTTGGGATTCTACTCCGGAAGGCAAGATGCTGAAGTCCAAAACGTTCTTAAAAAAGACGCGCGCGGGCGGCGTGATGAAGATCGTGCGCGAGCACTACCTGCGGGATGACATCGGCTGCGGGGCGCCGGGCTGCGGGGCCTGCGGCAGGGCGCACGAGGGGCCGGCCCTGGAGCCGGAGCCCCGGGACCAGGCGAGCAGCCTCTGCCCGCTCCCGCACTACCTGCTGCCAGACACCAACGTGCTGTTGCACCAGGTGCGTGGGCCGCGGGGGTCCCGGGGGACCAGGGACGGGGCAGACAGGGAAACTGAGGCCCGGGGAGGCGGGTCTTGGGGAGAGGCCAGCCCCATCGCCATCCTTGCTTCCAGTTTTCCAGGCTGAGGTTCTTTTCCCTAATGCTCTCTTTATTTATTTATTCTTGGAGTCGTGTTTTTTTTTTTTTTTTTTTTTAGACACGTCAATTTTCTAACTCGTGGTGTCTCTTCTACTTTAGATTATAAGTGCCTGGAAGCCGGGGACCTGGGCTTCTGTGGCCTCCAGATTGCGACCCCCAGGCAGCTTGTAAGTGCCTACGAACAAAAACTGTGTGGGCCAGCGTATTTATTTATGTAGCTTTAGTGATACAAACTTTCGTGATCTCTTCACAGTGCTCTTCTCAAGCCCATAGTGACTATTTTTACTTTTTCTAACACCAAAGTAGCTCTTGGTCTAATGGATATGTTGGTGCTTTGAAACTGTGATAGGACTTTATACATGTGACCGAAACAATTTATAAATGAATAGAGGGAAAATTAACTTTTTGATTTTGTTTTTCAGATTGACGTTCTAGAGGACCCCGCCATCAGGAATGTAATTGTGCTGCAGACAGTCCTCCAGGAAGTGAGAAATAGGAGCGCTCCCATATATAAACGAATCCGAGATGTGACTAATAACCAGGAGAAGCATTTCTACACATTCACCAATGAGCATCATAAGTAAGAAAGATTTTAAGCGTCGAAAAACCCTGGGGTTAGCTAAGTTCAAAGGAAAGTTACTGAGAGCAATTTATCAGAGACAAACTGTAGTTACATAAAGCTGTTAATTAACAGTGTGGAAAATATCTTAAGTGGGGTTCACTAAGGTCACAGTGAATTAGTGATGTCACACCTAAACCAGGTTCTATTGGCTCAGGCTATAGTACTTTTATTTCTGAACTACGCATTTTAAGTTGTGTCTTAGAGGAATTGAATGATAGACTCTTGGAAGATGAGTCTCACCTCTGTTCCTGGAATATTGTATTATGTGAATGATGAATATAGGGTTAAAAAAGTATGCATTTGTAAAAAAGATTTAAAAATAAATTTATTCTTAATGAGCTTTGATATTTAAACTAATACCTTACAACTGATTAATTGAAGATTTGATTTTTTTTCTTTTTAAATTTTTGAGACAGGGTCTTCCTGTAGCTCCAGGTGGTCTAGAACTCACTATATGGATCAGGCTGCCCTTGAACTCATAGAGATCTGCCTGCCTCCTGACTTCTGGGGTTAAAGGCATGCACCACCACACCTGGCTCTGAAAATTAGGTTTCTAAAAACAGAATTCTTTGTTATGATTCAGGTTCAAGACCTTTGCTTGAACTCAGTGTTTGGTCTTGGATCATATGGGGTTGCCTATTTTTAATAAGAAATGTGTGGTGGGTATCCGTGATACTTAATAGATTCAGCCAGTTTCTCAGTCTTGACACTGACATTTTGAACTTGGTAATATTTTGTTGCAGGAAGACTGTCTTATATATTCTAGCTGTTTAGCAGCATCCCTCACCTCTGCCAGCTAAATCCAAATAGCATTCCCTTCAGTACTCCCAAGTTTAATAATCCAGAATGTTTCCAGATATTGTCAAGTATCTTTTTTTTTTTTTTTTTTTTGTTTTTTTTTTTTGGATTTTGTGTGGCTGCAGCTCTATGTAGCCCGCGTTGTCATAAAACTCACTATATAGCAAAGGCGGGCTTTGAATCCACAGAGAACCGCCTGCCTCTGCATCCCGAGTGCTGGGATTAAAGGCGTGTGCCACCATGCCTGGCTCATGTATCTTTTTTTTTTTTCAATTCTCTTAGATCTTGGAAAACGTACTGCTTTTAAGAACACCAGTAAAAGTGCTTATAAAGGCTATTTAGTCCTTACTTGAAATCCAGAAACAGGTAACATTTCTTTTCCAGTGCCAAAAGACCAAGAAAAGGACATATGCATTAGATTTCTAACTTGGGTTTAGTAGTTTTTTTTTTTTTTTTTCTGCGTGCTTTGAACAGGCCTTAGCAAGATAGGGCTTGATTGCCAGACACTAAGCAAATCTCATGTAAGATTTTGTTACGTGAATCATGATGAAACCAAATTCGAATTTATGACTACGGCTTTCACTGATAAACTTAGGCTTATTGAATCTGCAGCCTTGTGTCCCTGTGTCCCAAGGTAGCTGTGAGTGTGAACCAGAGCATTTGTAGATGACAGCATTGTGTTTTAATGTCAAAGATGGGATACAATTGAGGGCATTAGTAGGTACATTAATGGTGGGGAATAAAACAGTTTTAAAAATCTTGCTTTGAAGAACAGATTTAAAGTAAATAAGTGGTTTCATACTTGGGAGTTCTGGTCTTTTAGACTCTGGATAGCTTTTGCCATTTATTGAGTGTTTACCATGGATGATTTACATGAATTATGTATTAAATGACTATTGAATCACATGATCATAAATTCTCTAGTCATACTGTTTGTATAGTTTAGGAATTACTGTTAATTCAAAGTTAGAATGAAGTTTCGTTATCTGATCTATAAAGTTCTATTAGGGTTCTTTTTTCTCCACAATAGACTATTATGTTCCAATCTAAAATATAAATTCTGGTCTTAATGTGTTCTTTCTGTGAAATGAAACTATTTAAGCCTCTGTATTGTCTCATTAATAACACAGTTTTCTTCTTTCTCAAGCAAAATTGTTGTCTTGAAAACTTCAGGATCTTACAGTATTTTTTCCTGAGCTATGAGTGTATATGTTCAGGTGAAATAATGTATACTGTTGACTTTTCAGTTTAGTAGTGTTGGTTGAGCATTTATGTCCTAAGAATTTTTACATATCTTTGTTTCCATTGATTTTCTTTCAATTTCCCTTTTTTTTTTCTTCCACATTTAGAGAAACCTACATAGAGCAAGAGCAGGGAGAAAATGCTAATGACAGAAATGACAGAGCCATTCGAGTAGCAGCAAAATGGTACAATGAACATTTGAAGAAAGTGTCATCAGAAAATCAGCTACAAGTTATCCTAATAACAAATGACAAGAAAAACAAAGAAAAAGCTGTAGGAGAAGGAATACCAGCTTTCACATGTAGGTCTGAATGTAGAAGGTTTTATGTATGTTTGCAAGTGCACTTAGAAATGATCAGGTCAAATGTTCACATGACTAATATTTTCACAGTCTTTATAAGTTCATATGATCTTTCTACATCTTTAAATTTCTTACCTATTAAGTTGATTAATGGCTTTTAATTTTTCCTCACTATGTACAGTTGACCGAGCAATAAAAACTCATGTATAAGCTGAACCCATTACTATTTAGGCACAACCACATCAGCCTGTTTTTGTTTTATTTGTAAAAATTGGCAGATGTACTGTAAAAATAAGATTATCCCTGGTCTTTCATATCTAAGAAAAATGAGACACTTGAATTTAAAAAAAATGGTAACTTATTTTTCAGGTGAAGAGTATGTAAAGAGCCTAACTGCCAATCCTGAGCTTATAGACCGTCTTGCTTGTTTGTCTGAAGAAGGGGTATGTTTCACTCTGTTCTTTTTTTCTGAAAAATGAAAATACGGAGATAAGCATCTCAAGATACGAGGCTTCTAGTTAGCAGATTTCAAAATTGGAACTTTCAGTAAACTAGGATAGGGAGAGTTGAGTTATAAGCAAAAGTGACTGATGAGCTTATTGAAATGCCGTTGTTCAATGAATAGCTTTCTAAAATAGAGCTTGACACAACAGATGGTGCCCCTGTTTGTTGTATGAAAAAAAGTGAATGGAATCCATGGCTTATTTGAGAAATACAGTCTGGCAAGCAATGCATACAACTTGAAACCTAAAAGAGAAGGAAAAGGAGTCACAAGGAAATAGAGAAGATTGGGGAGGGCCCTACAACAGGAAGCTGGAATCTATTCTATGGGTCAGCAATTTCTTAGGTGGTCATGAAGACTTCTGTGAAGGAGGTAGCATAGGACTGAGCTTTCTGCCTTACATGGCAGGCTAAGAGAAATGAAGGGCATATAAGAGTATGGGTCGGGGAGTGGACAGCAAAGATCAGAAATGTTATTTATTTGTAGACTTCCCTAATGGCAGTGTAAAGAACAATATACTGTATCAGTGGTAAGATTGGACACAGAGGGATTGTAAGAGGTACAATAATAGCCAATATGAGAAAGACTGCTAGGGAGAAATTCGATTCTGAGTCTTCAGTAGTTTCCAAAATGATTATTTTTTATTTTATGTGTCTGAGTGTATTGCCTGCATGTATATAACTGCACCTGTGTCGTGTAGTGCCCATGGAAGTCAGAAGATGGCATCAGATCCCCTAGAAGTGGAGTTACAGAGAGTTGTTAGCTGCCATGTGGGTGCTGGAAATTGAACCTGGGTCCAAGAGCAGCCAGTGCTCTTAACATCTGAGCCATCTCTCCAGTCCCAGGCTTCAGTTTTTCTATTATGTATAAAGTATATTTGGCAATAATGACTGTACCATTGTTAGGAGGATTGAATGAGGGTAATATTGGGAGCATTCATATATATTCTTATCTCATTGCCTGGCACATAGCTATGGTAAATATAGATGATAGCTTTTGTTACAGAAAGTCTTATCTAGTAAGACCTTATACATATAATTAGTCTTTACAATATTTCTTTACAATATCTCCTTGGTCTTTAACCAAGTGCTTTACAAAGCTAAGGGGAAGTTAGAAGAGTGAAGCTGGATTTGACCTTTATTAGCAGTGTCCTATCATGTCACTAGTTGCATATAGCTATGTAAATAGGATTTCAGTTTTTAAAATTCAGTTTCTCAGTTGTACCTTTCAACTATTCAAGAGAAATTTGTGCTTAGTGGCTACTGTGCTAAACATCACAGAGATGTTCTTTTCATTACAGTAATTTGTTTTTAGATAGCAATGGTTTAGAAGTATTAAATTCAGTTCTGTATCTTATAATGTAGATTTTAAAGTTGTTAACAAAAATGTGGCATGTTAAATTAATAGAGACTTGCTTATTTCATAGAGTGAAATAGAAAGTGGGAAAATAATATTTTCAGAGCACCTTCCCTTAAGTAAACTACAACAAGGCATAAAATCTGGTTCATACCTTCAAGGAACATTTAGAGCTAGCAGGGAAAATTACTTAGAAGCTACAGTATGGATTCATGGAGATACTGAAGAAGATAAAGAGGTAAGTATGTAAATTCCTTAGAATTTTCTTTCAATTACATTTATTTCTCCACATATGTGTATGTCCTTGGGTTTATGTTGGTGTGTAGATGAGAAGACAACTTGTATAGGGAGTTTGTTCTCTCATTCCACCATGTGATATTGAACTCCGATAATCACGCTTGGAAAGTACCTGGTGGCAAAGCCATCTTGCCAGCTCCTGTCTAGATTCTTTACATACTAAAATACTTGGTTTACTTTATCTTCTTAAGTTTTAATACATTGTATAGGAATTTCATTTTGTCTTGCCTTTTACTCTGTGTGTGTGTGTATGTGTGTGTGTGTGTGTGTGTGTGTCTGTGTGTGTGTCTGTGTTTGTGTTTGTGTAAGCCAGAGGACAACTTTGGGTGTCATCTTCAGAAAAGTGGTCTTACCTCCTGGGAGACAGGATCTCTATTGGCCTGACCTTAGCATAGCAAGGCCCTGGGATCCTTCTGACTCTATATCCTGTTTATCAAATGTTAGTTTTTTGCATGCCTCATTTCACTTAATCTTCAACCTAATCTATGATTGTTTTTGTGTTTACCAATCAAGATCTTGAGATTTATATCATTTAATTTTCCCAAATCTCTTGTTACCATTACTTATAGCAGAACTGTAAACAAAACCCATATTTCCTGAGCTGTACTTTCTCCTTAAAATTCAGAAGTTAAGATCATGTAACAGAGAATAGTATTTAATCTTTAATTATCACTGCGTATGCATGATGTGTATGTGTGATTGCAGTAGTACACCTGGTGTGGCATGTATATGGAGGTCAGGGGACACCTTTCAGGAGTTAGTTCTCTTCTTCTATCGTGGGTTCTGGGGATCAGATTGAAGTTGCCAGGTTTGTTCAGCAAGCTCTTCTACACACTGAGCCTGACTCAGTCGTGTTTTTGAAAAGAAAAATAGAAAGGGAAGCAGATATTACATACAAATAATAAGACTGTACATAAACCTCTCTTAGATAACCTTCCTGTTGTTGCTACTAAAAATACCAAAAAACACATGCCATTTATTGTTTTAAACAGATAATCTTACAAGGACTTAAACATTTAAACAGAGCTATTCATGAAGACATTGTGGCTGTTGAGCTTCTCCCCAAGAGTCAATGGGTAGCACCATCTTCTGTGGTTTTGCATGATGAAGGTCAAAATGAAGATGATGTGGAGAAAGAAGAGGAGAGAGAACGCCTGGTATGAAAGAAGCAAGTTTTAAATTTTTGTTTGTATTACACAATTTAGTATGTTGTTTTCAGAATTGAATGAACCCATAATTCTTTACACTTAACACATGTTATACACATAGTTGCTTTCAGTTCTAAGTATGAAAACTAGTGTTCTTTTAATGTCAGTCTATTCAGGTTTAGGTATAAGAAAATTGAGTATGAAACTGAAAGTCTGTGACATCCAATACATGATCTAAATTAGTGAGATTTAAGTATTTCTATGCAATATTAAAATTCTCTCAAAAACTATGCTTCTGACCTTTATATTTGAACAGATTTAATTATTCTGTCTCTACTACCATACTTATTGTAGAGAATGTTATTTCCTATGGGGTAATTCTATTAGAATTTTGTAATTATAAGGATAATAGATTATAAGCATAATAGAGTTGGACTCAATACAGTAACAATAGAGATGGACTGTATGCAACACATATAGTTCTTCTTTTTGTATTAATTATATTGTTTCCTGAAGTCTTACTGTAATGTTAGCCTTGCAGAGGCCAAGCCTTTGGGAAGTGTTAGAGATAAAATAGCATAAGATCTAATGGCATGCATTCTTTATTTGGCTTTTTATTTTGCATAAGGTAGAACCTTTTCAGGGGCAGGGAGGATAGGGACGAACAGGGTCTTCCTGGAGCCTGAACTGTCCTGGAATTCCTGTGTGGACCAGGCTGTCCTCATCTCAACAGAGATCTGCCTGCCTCTGCCTCTCAAGTGCTGGGATTAAAGGTGTGTACTACCACGCGGGCTGAAATTAGAAAGTTTTAAGGTGTTTAACCTTAAAGGCTTAGATTGCCTTTAAGAAGTAAAAGATGGGTTGATGTCATTGTTTCAAGAGGGGGCTTCCATTGTCAGCCCTGGTGATACATTCTTTTAATCCCAGCACTAGAGAGGGTAGAGGCAGGTAGATCTCAGATGAGGAAAGCTTGGTCTGCATAGCAAGTTCCAGACTAGCTGAGGCTACAGGAAGAATCTGTCTTTAAAAAAAAAAAAAAAAAAACACAGAAAATGTTTCTTTCGAAATGAATTAGGTCCAACATGAACTGGTCACTGTAATAACCATATAGTTTAGCCAATTAGTCTAAATTAATACTAAATGCCTGGTCTTCTAGACCAGGCATAACATATTTATTCAGGTATATATTTTTGACTGATTTTTCTAGTGCTTTTTTTTTTTTTTTTTTGGTCTTTTTGAGACAGGGTCTCCCTGTAGCCCCAGCTGTCCTGGAACTCACTATGTAGACCAGGCTGGCCTTGAACTCAGAGATCCGCCTGCCTCTGCCTCTCCAGTGCTGGGATTAAAGGCGTGCACCATCACGCCCGGCTTCTAGTGCTTTATTATTGTGGAACAGTTGTCATTGGTTGGCATGCTGTTGCCTAGAACTTTGAGGCAATAAGATTCTGAATTTTATGTCATAATTTGCTACATGAATGTATTAGTGTCTATTTGCATATTCTAATTTGGAGGGGAGATTACTTCATTGCACTTAAAAATAACTGAAGGTTTTTGTTTTTGTATCTCAGCTTAAGACTTCTGTAAGTGAAAAAATGTTAAAGCCTACAGGTAGAGTTGTAGGAATAATAAAAAGAAATTGGAGACCATATTGTGGAATGCTTTCCAAGTCTGACATTAAAGAGGTAGGTAAAGAGCATGTTACTGTGCATGAAAAAATCATAGTCACTGACTGCAACTCACTTTTCCCTACTCTTAGAGTCTGTCTTATTTCCTGGGTGAGGTGTGTAGTTAATTCAGTAGTACAGTACTTGTCTAGCATTTGCAAGGCTATGCAGTTGATCCCTAACATTGTAAAAAAAAGATTTTTCTTCTTAATTCTCTCTAGTCAAGAAGGCATCTCTTTACACCTGCTGATAAGAGAATTCCACGAATTCGAATAGAGACCAGACAGGCTTCTGCATTAGATGGACGGAGAATTATTGTTGCTATTGATGGTTGGCCCAGAAATTCTAGATACCCAAATGTAAGCTTAAGATGGTAATTTTATCTAAGTATGTTTAATATTATAACTGTGACAAATGTTGATTCTGGTGAAAAAGTATTTAAAAAATACAGGGTTTGTACACAAATGGATATTTCACAGTTCCTTGGTAATAAGCATGACCAAGGCCTTTTGTGGTGCTACAGGCTTTTCTTCAATCCCAGCAGAGGCAGGTGGATGTGTGAGTTGGAAGCCAGGCTGAGCTATATTTCAAAAAAAGGGGGAAGAAAGTAGCATACCCAGTTTAAAGATTAATTTTATCTAATCCCAGTGTAGTCATATGGTTAGTTTTATTCAACTTGCAGTTTACTGATCAAGTTCATGGAAAAAGCATTTGAGTCCTAAATAAATTCTAATCAACAAATTTTGAAAAATACATATATCTATATATATAGAGAGACATACACATATATCTAAATTATTTTATTGTAATGAACACACAAAAACCTGTAGCTCTATTAATGTATAATGTAGCTAGATTACTGAAGCAGTTTTTAAAGTACATTTTAAATTGAAGGTTAACAGGATATAGATGAACTGGGCCCTTGGAGTTGGAGAGATGGCTCAGCAGTCAGAGCGTTTTTCTTAAGACCCGGGTTTGAATCCCAGCACTCACATGGTCATGAACAGCTGTCTGTAACTACAGTTCCAGGGGATCTGACACCTTCTTCTGTCTTCCTGGGGCATTGCATGACATGGGTACACTTACATCCATGCAGGCAATATACCCATACACATAAAATAAAAATAATAAAGTTTAAAAAAAAAAAAACCTGGGCCCTCAAAAGTCAGGTGAAAAGTCTAGTTGTTATAGAAACACTTAGAAATGTTAAAGTGGTGGTACACACCTTTAATCCCAGGACTCAGGAGGCAAAGGCAGGCGGATCTCTTGACTTCAAGGCCAACTGGGGTTACCAGGAGACCTTGTCTCAAGAAGACCAAAAAATAAAAATTTAAAAAAAATGCTGAAGTAATGTGTAAAATGCTAAAGAATTTAGTAAAGTACATGATAAATTAGCTGCAAAATAATGCCTTTTGATTTTAGGGACACTTCGTAAAGAATTTAGGTGATGTTGGAGAGAAAGAGACAGAAACAGAGGTGCTGTTGCTTGAGCATGATGTTCCACATCAGCCTTTTTCTCAGGCTGTTCTCAGCTTCCTGCCAAAGATGCCCTGGAGCATTACTGAAAAGGTGAGTGGAAAGGTATGCAGGGTGTTCTGGAACTCACTCTGTAGTCCAGGTAAGCCTGGAACTTGCATTTTTCCTGTCTCAGCCTGCCGAGTAGCTAGGATTAGAGGCTTGTGTCACCTGACCAGGCTGTTTAATTAGAGACCATGGTTGGTCCCTTCATATTTAATTTCAGCATTATTAGGTATTTGCTTTTTTCACTGAAAGATGAAGTCTTCTTTGCCACAGACACTATTATATAACCTATTTTCCTATAACATGAAAAGCTAATTTACAGAGATACTGCTTTCATAAGAACTGTGTTATACTATTCACACCTTACCTTTTGATTTCTTTTACCATGGTATCTTCTAGGACATGAAAAACCGAGAAGATCTGAGGCATCTGTGTGTTTGCAGTGTGGACCCTCCAGGATGTACAGACATAGATGATGCTCTCCATTGTAGAGAACTCAATAATGGGAATTTGGAGGTATTCCATAGTGTCCTGACACTCTTTAGTTAATGTGATTCTGTTCTTGGGTTTATTGTGTTTTGACCCAAGAAAGAATGAAATTACAACTGCAGAAACTAAGAGGTGTATGTCAGAGTTCAGTTATTACTGTGAGTCCGTTTTCAGTTTAGATAAATTTCTTCTCACCTAAGTTCCATTGGTATGTCTGTTCTATTAATAATGCAGACTGATAATCTTCTGCTTTAATCTTTTTAAGGTTGGTGTTCATATTGCTGATGTTAGTCACTTTATTAGACCAGGAAATGCCTTGGATCAAGAATCAGCCAGAAGAGGAACAACTGTTTATCTTTGTGAAAAGGTAAATGTGTTTAATTTAAAATCTTTTAATGATCATAGCACTTTGAGTTGTTTTGTTTTGTTGGACACAGGGTCTTGATATGTAGCCCAGCTAGCCTTGAACGCCTGATCCTTCTGCCTCAGCTTCCTGAAGGCTGGGCCAGGAACTTTCAGATTAATGAGCAATCACAGTTTGAAATATGTGGTGTATTAATTTAAAAGAAACATGTGGATTAAATTGGCCTAAATCCCAGAAAGTACTGCATTTTGTGGGCTGCGGCAATGACTCAGTTGGTAAAGTATCTGTCTTACAAGTATGAGGACCTGAGTTTAGCTCTCCAGAATCTACATGGGCATATCTTTAACTCCATCTCTGGTAGGTGGAGACAGACTGATCCCTGCAGCTCATTGGCCAGCTAGTGAATCAGTGAGCTCCAGTTCAGTGAGAGACTGTCAAAGAATAAGTAGAGCATGATTAAAGAAAATACCTAGTACCAACCTCTGGTCTTCACAGGCATTCAAACACGTACAACACAAAACACAAACACCAAATACAAATTGTAACAGATTGTCTTTTGCTTTGTTTTGTAATTTAGTGATGCCAATAAAATTTAAATGGAGTTGATATAAATTGTGTAGCATTTATTAGGTATGGTTTTCATAAACTTACATAGATCATTTGGGGAAGTGGGAGAGGGGAGAAGGTCAATGTTAGTCTGTTAACAGATTCATATTCCTAAATGTACCATGAAGCTTTTCCTCATGAGAATTTAGATTTTTCTTTTCCATCTCTCACTTTTAAGTATGTTCAAAACACTATGTAGTTTTTACAATGGGAAGAAAATTTCAATCAGAGTTGGTAAGCACTTTTGTGTTATGAAGTACCACCTTACAAAAACCATACATTTCAGACTTTAGACAGCTAAGGGTTTCAGGTAAAAGACTTCATTTTAGGTGCACAGGCATGAAATCTACGTTTCTTTTGTTGCTCTTCTAGAACTTCTAGAAGAAGAGTGCTCTTTTATTCTTTGTGTGTCTGTCTGTCTTTTTCTACTGACATTTTATTTGGCATTTTCCTTATTCCTATGATCTGAAGGACCAGAATGCTCCTTTTTTTCCCCTTCCTACTTAATACTATTTGAGAATAGAATTGAAAACGTATAAATGTAGCTAAGTAATCTGAAATACTTTTATTATCTTTTACAGAGGATTGACATGGTTCCAGAGTTGCTTAGTTCCAACTTATGTTCCTTAAGATCTAATGTTGACAGGTAAATATTTATACATATTTTGATGAGTCATATTGGCTGTATTAATTGATTCCCATGAACATTACTGTATTTTTTTCCCCTGTAGGTTGGCATTTTCCTGCATTTGGGAAATGAATCATAATGCCGAAATCTTAAAAACAAGATTTACCAAAAGTGTCATTAATTCAAAGGTTAGTATGATGGTTCATTACTAATATTTCCAAATATAAAATATTTGGTTTGGGGGCTGGAGAGATGGGTCAGCAACTCAAGTTAAGAGCACTTGCTGCTCTTGCAGAGGGCCTGGTTCAGTTCCCAGCACCCACATGGTGGCTAACAATTGTCCATACTCCAGTTCTAGGTCCTCTTCTTGTCTGTTCAGTCACTGCACTCACATGGTATGTGGGCAAAACCCATAAAAATAAACCTTGTGAAAGAGTTTGGTTGCTTTTAACAATTTCTTAGATTCTTTTGAAAAAGTTAGGTTTTACAAAAAAAAGTTAGGTTTTATAAGATTAAAGTTTTTTCCACTGCTGTAGCACAGTATAATTTTTTTTCAGAATTTAAAATTTGCTTAATTATTGATGTTATTCAGAAATTACTTTGTTGGTGGTTGTCCTGTATTCAGAAACTTGAAGCCTACCTACCTTGGAAGACCAAATAGATGGTTTTATGTTCTAACTCAGGAACCCTAGTAATTAAGGTTATTTCTACTCAAAAATGGTTAGTGCTTCAAAAATTAGTGTGTACATTATCTTGTTGACATTTTCTCATAGAGATGATGCTGTGTGGTAGTTGGATTCCAATAGCACTAACCTAAGGTCTGCTCAGACAGTGGACCCAGGTTTTCTCATCATTGTCCTTCTTTTGTACTTCAGTCCAAATCTCGTGTTCTTCTCCATTTTGTCCTAAATAGCCTTCCAAGGTATGCCAAAGCCCTGTTCTTATAATACGTGTTTTCTGAACATAAACATTTTTTTTCTTCTAATTTAGTTTCATTCTATTCTGATTAGTGAAAAGAAAGTGCTGTTAGATCAACAAATAGTGATATGTGAATTATTTTACTCTTCATAGGTTTGTATTTTTAGAGTACAGTGAGGCAATAAGCCTGAATGTAGTGTAACAAAATTATATGAATTAAAATAAAAAATTAGTGAATATAGAAAATATGTTTTAGAAAGGGAACTCTTTTAATATTTTATTATTTTTATTTTATGTGTATGCGTATATTGTCTGCATGTGGGTAACGACACCCATGTTGTGCAGTGCCTGTGCAATGCCCGTGGAGGACAGAAGAGGCTGTTGGATCCCCTAGAACTGGAGTTACGGACAGTTGTTAGCTGCCATGTGGGTGTTGGGATTCGAACCCCGGGTCTTCTGCAAGAACAACCAGTGATCTTAACTGCTGAGTCATCTCCAGACCTCTAGAAAGGGAACTCTTAAAAAGATAAGAGTTCTCCCAGAAACTTGATTTGACCTGTATTTAGTTCCCTTGTACTGATTGTGAATTTTACTTATTAAATTACTTTTTTAATCTGAAAAATATTACTTGTTTCCCGTGAGAATAATTCAGAAACAGTATTTGTTTTTTGTTTGTTTTTGTCTTTTTCATATGGTGTCCCAGCTGGCCTAGAATTCACTGTGTAGACCAGGCTGGCCTTGACCTCATAGAGATCTGCCTACCTCTGCTTCCTGAGTGCTGGGATTAAAGGCATGCCACCACAAGGCAGAAAAAGCTATTTTGTGTTTTTGAATAATCTGTTACTGGAGATTACTTTAAACTTTTCCTACTATTGTTTGTCCCATTTTTGGGTACTTGAATATTGTTAGTCTGTTCCTATAAAGTATGTCTAGACTCCTATTTGCCAGTGAATTGGGGTAATGACCCTCTGGAAAGGATTTCAGAGAATAGACAGAGCCTGTTTCTGTGTTTTAATTTCTAGCATTACCTAAATATATGCTAGCTAAACTATGAGAAGATTGAAAGTTTGAATAATTCATTTTGGATACCACCATTTTACTTTTATTTTAATGTAAGCTTGTTCATGCTGTATAATGCCTCAGAGTTAAATAGACCAGAAATCATAGTTAAGTTTGAATATAGCTGTAGATTTCTCTTACTGGTTTTAGGTTTCCTGAAATCATGGATATCTATGTGGAGAAGTAAGAGGTAAAATAACACAGTCTAGGGATGGAGTAAAATGCAGGTAAAATGCTACCTTAGTTAGGATTCCCAAACCCCACATAAAAGCTGGACACTATAACATACACATCTGTAACCCCTGTGTGTCCTTTCTGGAGGTTGAGGCAGACAAAGAGATTTGCTTCTGAAAATTCCTGGCTTCTGTGGCTTCTGACCTCCACTTGTGTATGGTGGTGTGTGTGGGCCTGTTCTCTGTCTCTGTCTCTCTCTGTCTCTCTCTGTCTCTCTCTCTCTCTCTCTCTTTTTCACACACACAAAAAATACAGTTT